AAACGGCCGCGCAGGACGGCGCGTAGGGCCGGTCGTATGTCCGCTGATAGTATGGAAAATAACGTCTCCGATGAATATGCGATCAGACTGATCGCCGACGAAAAGGTCAATAAACAACGATTAATAGGGAAAAGTGCGATTATTCACTCGACGAGAGAATACACGCTGTGCATGCGAACGCGTTCTAAAGTTCCTCGAGGGAGCAAAAGTATCGCGGCTTTCCTTACATCGGTGATCGTGCGTGTGTGTATATACGCGCCTAAAAAACCGCAAGTTTGTAAACTTTCTTAACGGGCAACCTATTCCACGTGTTGCCAGTCGTCCTTTTCCACTTGCCGAGCGGTAAATTTAACTTCGGCTCCGTCTGTTTCGAGCTTTCTTACAGCATGGATTTCTTAATCACGCTGTGAAGAAGTCGAAAACCGCGATATTTCACGCTTCTTCTTTCCCACCCGACGCTTTTCACGGATATATTTCATACCACAGATCTGCAAATACAATCTACTCGACTTATACCCGCTCTAATTCGCGCGTCATACATCGACAAGTAGCCTCCCCCACAGCTTGATCTACGCTCAACCTATTTGAATCGTTCGACGTTCGTCCTAACAACAATCGGATCCATTCAATTTTATTACGACATTAACTCGAAGTTAAACTCCAACTCTGAGTTTCTCTATAACTTTGTGTGTGTGGTAAATCCAAAGAAATGGCACATTTGTCACGATATCCAAGAACTGTAAATATTCTAATTGTTCATTCCAACGAAGGGGCGGGCGGATAAGGAATTAATTATAATTTAATTATAATTATAATTTCGTCCGTGTAGATCTCCGAAACTGCGTTTCCGTTTCAGTCACGAAAACCAAAGCGTGAGAAGAGGAATTCATGCGAACATCAGATTCACCGTCAAGCTCATCACGATATTAGAATTCGTGGAATTCGGTACGGAAGATTTTCCTCCGTGTTCGTCGCGTTCAGCAAAACAACAACTTTATCTCGGAATCGTATTAGAACCATATTAGAAAGATATCGCGGAAACGTTATCTAATCCGACTATACTTTCCGTGACGCGAAGAGGGAAAGCGTCACTTGCTTTGTCTGTCCTGAAATAATAATTTCGACCCGATGTTCGCATTCGATGTAAAAACTCGGCTCCGCACGATGTCGCAAATTTAGGCGAATATTGACAATTATGTTGCGACCACGTATGTTATATTATTTACGTTATATCACACGGAAAAAAACGCGAGATTCAAGTAAATAATAACCCCGATAAACTCCTCAGCAAATTTTTATAGCAATTCATTTATTTTTATAATATTTTCAAGTAATATTTATTTGATCCAATAATAAAATCTACTTGATTCAAGTAAAAATTTATAAGGAATATCGGAATAATTATTTACTTGAATCTAGCACTTCTTTCTGAGGACGTGTGTTGTATTCGCCCAACATACGCGGTCGATATAATTGTAAACGTTCGCCTACATTGGCATCGTGTAGAGCTGACTTTACACACTGCTAACGGCTGAAGATACATGGTCGCCGAGTGGCTAGCTCTCTTCGCGAAAGACGAGTAGTACACAGGGGATACGGAGGCTCGTTAGAAGTAATACGGTATTTGTTCAGGTGCGTAGAGTGGCGCTAATGTGTACAACCTCGCTGCCTAAATACCGAATCTCCCTCGCGCACGACTATATATATATATATATATATATATATATATATATATATATATATCGTGCACGACGAGAACGCGCAGTCAGTCGACCTCTTCCAGCAACGGGAATCCTCCGGTGAAATTTGCGAAGAAGAGCTGCGGCCAAGTTGCGCAGGTATTCGCATCTCAAATTCGCAAAGTCGAACGTTACTACCGCCGCTGTCCTCCCACGTGCGTGATTTCGAAAAAGGAGAGAGAAGGGGAAAGATCGAGAGAGAGAGAGAGAGAGGAAAGAAGAAACCCACGCGCGCGCGCACGTGGAAAATCAACGATGCGAAATTAAGTCGGGTCTCGGGACGACGAGTATTTACGACGTGCGAGTAATTGAATTTATTTCCTCCCGGGATCGAATGGACGGTGCATTCGTCTAGGCGTTCTAAGAGATGACGATAAAAATACCGGGTCGGTTCCGTCGCCGCTCCGGCCGGCGCGAAATTACTCGGTGAAGTCGGCTGAAGCGACAGCCGGGCGATAAGAGGAACAATAACTAATAATAAAGTACACGTCCGGCGCGGAAAACGCACGGCGACTCATGCTGCGCCGCGCGAATTGGAGTCCGTCGCCGGCGACTTCGAAATTGGGTCGCCAACTTTTCGGAATCTCGCTGCTGCGGCTTCTCAGACGAATCGATTGACGAGAGTTTCGCGTGAGAATATCGAGTAGCGAAATATAAATTTTTCATGAATTTTAAATATCTCGTATACGACGCGAGGAAAGTTTCAGTATATCATTAGCTTTATATATACAATCGATATCGTGCAGATGCCTTCGGCCAGTTGGACGCGCGTATTTATAGTTATCACCGTCTTGAAACGTGTCTGATGTGAGATACACAAATGGGTTTCGAAATAGTTTCGAAGTATTTCCCGAACTAATAATTAGATCCGAGTTTCTCAGTTGAATCATGCGGTCGACATATTCGTGATCGCGATTCAACTTCAAACTCAGATCTAACGCTGAATTCGCAGTTCTGTGCGTCTCTCGCGAATCTCAAACTGATTATAACAATGATCGGAACGACGAATTCGCAGAGACTGTTCCGCAGCGGCGAGGTGTAACGTCGAATTTAGGCCGATGTGCCGGGGAAAGGACTCGTGTTTTAAAAGGAGCGATTTCGCGATTCCTTCCCCACTGTTTTTCTCACCGAAAGAAGCATAAACAAGACACATGGGACACATGTTCCCTACTTAACGCTCAGGCGAAACGTGCGTGATCTCGTTAGCGATAGATTGATCCGCCTCTCAATTTTCCTTCCACACGTCGCGAGAGGATAGAGAAGGATGAAAAGGAGAAAGAGAAGAGAAACGGATGGAAGGAATTCTCGCGTTCTATATTACGCGTCGCGATCGAAGGCGCGAACGAAGGCTCGCCGCGTGAATGAAAGGCGCATATGCGAGTGCCATTGTTACCGTCGGCGGGCGCAACGAGCGATGAAAAATAGTTTCCGTCGTATTCGCGGAATAGTAGAGAGAGACACAAAGCACGCGGTGTGCCCGTCGCGGAGCGGGCGGAATTATCAACGTTATGAAACGCACATTTGTCGCGGTACGACGCTATCATGTAAATGTGCCCCGTTCCCTCGTTTCTCTAAGCTTAATTAACACCTTTTTCACCTCAACGCGATGCCGAATGATAACGCGCGAGATGCGTACGGGGGCACACGCACGCATTATATCGAAAAAATATATAATTAATCCCTCTACGTTCTTCAAATAGTAAAAATAATATCTTTAATTTATAATTTTTATTGGTGTTATCAAATATTGTTTCTTTTTTTAATGAAATGATTTTTCCGGTTAAAGGATTAGAAGACTTGAAGAATTGTGCATATACATTTTTTTGTTGTAAAAATATTTGTTTCTCATAATATTAAGTTACTGTACCAAACTCCACACACACACACACACAAAAGTCATGCTGATTAAAGAGAGACAAGAAGAACGGTCGTTCGAAGAACGCACGACTGGAGAATGATTCTGACGCATTTGGCGTTATGTAATAACTAGAGCAGTGAACGTACTCTACGGATAATTTTAATCCTATCTCAATTGGACGCGAACGAAAAGTATGATTATTGTTTCCTACAGAGTATTGAATACAGCCGAGAAAGCAATTGCGCGCGCGTTATCATCACTTGCGAGAAACATGTAGCGTGCAGAAACGTAATTCTCAATGACGTTTAATCGATAAAACCGATAAATACTCGGCGTGCTCGAGCCGTTTTCATCGCGCTTCGCGTAAAAATGAAAAAAGAGGATCGTAAACTTCTGTGCACTGCGCCGCCAGATAAAAAACCTTGTCGCAAACGCTCGCTTTATTTTCTCCCCGTAACGCGCGGACAACATTAAAAAAAAACGACGATGTGCTCGAGGCGCATAATCCAGGCGCGTCGATGATATCTCGACGGTAATGTTGGGAGCCATTGGCTATCTGTCTGGATCTGATATTAATATTCGAATGCCGGAATATAATGCGGAGGATTGCGGACAAGTGTGGCCGTGGAAAGGACGTAGGCGTCCCTATGATCGCAGCGGCTCGCGAGCTTCCCTTTCGTTTGCGAAGGCACGCGACAAATCGCCGATCGTGAGCAAAAAACCGTGGCATTCACACACATTCTCTCTAAATTTCTCAGTGGGAAATCCCACACAAAACGAATGAAAATCTATTCGAAACGTTAGTGAAAATACCACCAGTTTGAGTCACAAGAGCGAACGTTTAGCTCAGACTTGACTGGAGGGGATTCCAAATCCGAATAAATGTTTCAGTCGGTCAGAGCGAATTTGTCCCGATGACGGTGAACCAACGGCCCAATGAGCAAACTCGTTTCCGAAAAATACATTCTAAATTGGTAAATTTTGAAAGGTAAATTCTAACAGACGAATTCTGAAAGATAAATCCTCGCATTCCAAACAGCACGGAGAAAGAAGTTTCGAAATTGTTTCAAAAATGTCAATGTACGCTCCGATTTACTCTTCAATTTTAAACGAAAATATCCATTCGACGATTCCATCGTGGATGGAAGAATTCACTCTGTATGCGAGCGAAAAGTCACTCGATTTCACGCGCGACCCGGCTGTCACTCTATTCTCCAAGCGAAATTCCACTCTGGGGAATTTAGAGAGCATACCAGCCGATATTTCGAAATTCAAGCTTCCCCGACACGCTGCACGCTTCCCGCATTAATAACGTTATCGACGTATTTCCTTGGAATTTCTCGGTTTACATCGCATCCTCGTTTTCATCAAGGCTTAAAGGTGCGAAAAAGTCAGGTACTTACCGCAATTAGTGGAGGCGATGAGCTGTAGGAATCCCACAATTCGTCGATGTCATGGCAATCCACGTCAGACAACATATTTCGTTTTCTTCGGCTTTCCGGACGATGCAGACGTCGGTTAGAGGTACATGGCACTCGCTCATGGAGAACGAAGAGAAATTAAAACGCGATTACAATTCCGTCGCGGGAACCCGACGATTCTTCAAACGTCCTTCGAATCCGTCGGCGTCTGAAAGCAAAGATCGTCCCCGATGTAGTCTGGCAAATTGAATCTCTTTCACTCGTCCTACACCTATTAATAACCCTCAATCAATTCCTTTCTGTGCCTTAACGCAGCGACAAGTCGGAGAAAGATTCCCAAGCATGCAACACGAATAATCGTGTCATTTAATTGCATTAACATCGCGAGAATCGCATAAATATATTTGCGCCGTATTATCGTTCTATAATATCATACGTCCCTTTTCAATCTTCCGAGAAGCTAAGCATAGAACCTCCTTATTCGTAGAAAATAGATCCGACGTTATGGCCGTAATCCACTCCGAATTAATTCGCACGCACGTAAGATGCGAGAATAATATAATTTTTTTTTATTTTGAAGCTTATATACATACACATTGCGTCATGTGTATATATAACCGAGAAGAAAATATCTAAAAAATTAAAAATATTTATTCGGTGGGTACTGATAACGTGTCTGCTTGAATTTAAATTCCTTTATTTAAATAGAATAAACAATTGCTTTCATAAAGAGTTGCAAATTTAAGACAATATTTTCTCATTTGAAAACAATCTTTTTTTTCAGCGCAAAACATGTATATTAGTATAAGTAAATATATGTTATCAGTGTTATCAGTGCACCCACTGAATAAATATTTTTTTATTTTCCAAGTATCTTCTCTCGGTGTGCCATACCATTCTCTGAACTGAGAATTACGCGATTTCGAGCTCACGCATGCGGTCGCATAACGTCGAAAATCGCACCACTAACTTTAATCATAGTGGTAGCGTTATAATGGGGCTCTGATTATAACGGTTTCGACCTTACACGTATACGCATAAGGTCGGAGATCGTGCGATTCTCGATCTAAGGTAAAGGTAAAGCTTGCATGACGCGGTGTGTACACGGAAGAAACAATTCCGTTGGTGTAATTGAATTTTCCGTCGTCCGGGGACCGGACGAGAAGAACTCGATCGTAGAAACAGAGAGAGAGAGAGAGAGAGAGAGAGAAAGAAAGAAAGAAAGAGAGAGAGAGATTCCTGTAGGAGGTCTCTACTCGGTCAATTGCTCTCGGTGTTGTCGCAATCGAGTTTTAATGCAGCTGAACGTTCACACGAATGTTCTCGCTCGCATTTAACAGATAGATATTCGTTTCTCGTCACCGCGAGCTTTTCAACCGGAACCCTATACAGTCGCATCAAGTCTCTTTGTCTGTGCGCGAGCAAAACGTAGACGAACGCCTCTGTCTTCCTCTCTTTCTCTCTCTGCGAAACGAGCACGTGCAGAAACGCAACTCGTGGAGACACACGCGCGGACGGTTTATGTAAGTGTTATTAAAAGATCCAACCGGACGTTGGATGCTGATCTGCAAGGAGAATGAATCTCGACGTACACACGCACACACACGCGCGCGCTGCGCTCCCTCGCTGCGAGCTTGTACCGTAGATCGCACAATGTGAACGTATCCGTGACCTCAGCGCTGGCGGTATCGCGCTTGGCATTATCCGCCTCGGCCGGTTTTGCGTTTAATGCCTTTTGTCCTATATTATGGGATGATGCACGACCGCATTACAGGTCGCGGCGCGTCGCAACGAGTTCAACGGACCTCTCTTTATGGGTTAAGTGTACCATCCGCGAGGTGAANGGGGGGGGGGGGGGGGGCACGAGAAGAGAGAGAGAGAGCGGGCGGGGAATGCACATCTCGAAGCGGTAACGCGCGATTGACTATATGAAATCGTTTTGGAACAATAAAAATAAGATAGAAAAGAGCGTCGATTCGCGTTCTGTTCGTTCGGCTAAAATGACAGTCGTTTCTCGAAACTCGCCTCAGGTAAGATCGTCAGATTTGAATTTCGAGTTAGACGCGAGAGTTTCTTTTTTCGTGCTGTCTGACGTGTTTACAAAAGTAACGTCGCGTGTATCACAGGATAAATAAATGAAATAAAAGGCAAACTTAAGTCTGACTCGGAATTCTGATCTGAATGTTTCTCACGTGGGTTTCGAGTTTCAAGTAACGACTACTGATAGGGTCTGGGAGAGATCGCAGTTATTTTCGGGCTCGATTATACCCTTTTCTTAATTTCACCCGCAAAAATAGTAGTAACAATATGCATGCATGATTCATCGTCACTGACACTGTGGTAACACTTGCCAGAAAAAAAAAATAGCTCTCCTGACTATCATTCTTTCATGGTGTATAATTATGACAATAAACTACCCATATTTTTCTCTCCGTGTATAATCGCACAAGTACAGAGTTGCACACGGCGCACACGCGTGAATTCATTCGGCCGAACAAGATACCGATAATCTCAAGATAGCGGGACGTTTAATGCGAAATCAAGCGTTATCGCGGAGAGCGCAACGGGTGAAGTTCGGCCGAAGTACAATTCGCAATCCGTGTGCGCGACTGGGGCGCTCCGTAGCGTTGTTGAGAAATCACAACGGGGAACGCTTAATTGAATGAGCACGCCTAGAATTCTAATCGGTCTCGCTCATCGTCGGGAAAAGAAATTAACGCCTCGTCCGCACACGGCCGGACATATGCCGGGTAAATTATCTCCCCTAAAATCTAATCCCTCCCTCGCCCCGCTCGCTCGCTCTCTATTTGTATCTTTTCCCCTTCCTATCTCTTCCCTTAACATGTTAATCTACCCCGTCAATTCTGCAATACTTGATATACATATGAAGAAACCTAATGTGACTTGAACTTTCGATCCCTCTGTCCGAGAAATATTTTACAGGACGGAGAAATAACGCGTGGACAAAGATCGGCTTTTGCCACAAGAGCAAAATGTTTTCGCCGTGTGTGATCGGCAATTTTCCTTCATGTCTGTCAATGCTCAACAATCACATCTTGTAAGCGCGTTTTTAGAAGACCTGTCCTAGAATGTTCAATAAACGCATCCATCTACCTACCTATTTAACTATCTATCTTCCTCCCTGCCGCTTGCCCGCAGCTGGAGCAGCCTTTTGTAGGCGCGACACTGTCTCTCTCTCCTGGTGGAAAGATTTGGGAAGCGAGCGGAATCGAGCGTTGCTCTCCGTGCGAGCGGAGCAGATGTTGCGCGGCGAAGAGAAAAGAGAGGAGATCGTTAACGCCGCTCGCGGATTAAACGCATCGCCCGTATGCGATCGTGCCGCGGAGATGTGTAATCGCTGGGATCATCATTCGGGAAGAACGTATACCGTTTTCATCCCGTTAATAACCGGCACGATTTGCGCGCCCACACACACACTCAACACGCACACCGTCGTTGACAGCGCGGTGCATAAACGGAGCTACTTTAAATAGCACAATAATATCGCTGAGACGCGAATTGCATCGCGCTAACCGAGGGGTGCCGACGTTTCCCCACTCGGAAAATTCACTCCCGCGCGCGCACGTGATCCGAAGGATAATCCGGGAATTATGTTCACGTATGGGACACCGCACGGGGGCGAGGAACATCGTTTCCTCATTTTAACGCGCGACCAAGGTGCGGTACTCGGCCGCGAATCCTCGTCCTCGTCGTTCTCCGCACCGACAATAACATAACAATCCGTTACTTAATATTTGCGTCACCTCGTGCGTTGCGCGCTCCCACCGCGGGAACGCTGTCAGAATCGCTCTCGCGAATCATTCACTTCCGGACGTATCGATTCCACTCGCCTCTATGAGTAGATATCGTCGCCGGAAGATGCACTGATAAACGACGCGAGACGTCACGACTCGCCCGTGCAGGTTTTTCTAGTTTTTCCGACGGCCGAGCTTTCGCCGCGCGCTTTCTATCTCGCGCTCTCTAGCGCGACCTCTCTCTCTCTCTCTCTCTCCCCCCCTCCCCACCCTCCCTCTTTCTTTCTCCGTCTCCTTTTTTAGCGTCGTTCCCTCGCCGTTTTTTCGACGGGACGCAGCTTTCGACGCAAATGTCACTTCTGTGCGATCGTCTGGCGCGCTCGATTCGGCCGACCTTTCGACGAGAGCGCGCCAACGACTCCGCGTAATCGCAGTCGATATTAATCGAAACTGGTATTTCAAGAGAGTGAGAGAGAGAGGGGGGGGGGAAGAGAGGGAGGAAGAGAGAAAAGGAAGATATACCGTGCCGATTGGCCGGGCAGCGAACACGTTTTTATCAGACACAATTCACGTAACAGGGACGAGCGTCGAGCGCGAAGGCGCCTATTATCGCGGTCGTTGTAAAATGCGATACGTCAATCTTATAAATACGATTTCTGCTCACCGCCGGATTTTATCACGACGGAGCGGTAAGGACGCGCGCGATATGCAATCGACCGGCGGAATGAATGAGCGGAGACCGCCGTCTCTTTCCGCCCTCTGGGGTACACGTGACTGAAATTCACTGCAGGAAAACATTTTTTTTCTCAAGCCTACAAAACTATATCTGTAATATATATCATAATTATTAGCACGTACAACTAAATGTCTACTTTTATACGAAGAAAATGTCATATTGTATATGATCAATATGATCAATTATGTTTCTATTTTCAATAAATATTTGCCAAGAAGTATCGGAGCAATCATTTTACTTAGATCAAGTAAATATTATTCGAACAGTAGCACTTTTTTCAGCTTTGGAGAGACGGAGTACAGATTGCGAGAAATGAGCGCGCGTCGAGCCGGTAAACAATGTCTTCATAGCCAGAACATTTATATACATACATTTCAATAATCATCGATAATCTCTGCAATTATTGAGGATATTTAACGACCTTTTAACGATTTATCAACGATTATTAAGAATAAATGTCAATAACCGTTAATAAAATTATCGCATTAGTCATCACCCATCGGTACAACGTGAAATCGCGATTACGGCGAGATGACGAAACGACGAAAAAGAAAACAGATCGAATAATGACGAAATAGCGAGTTTTCACTCGGCATTTTCCGGTCATTGTGACGTCATTGTGACGTCATTGTGATCTCCCGCTGCGTTCCTGGGCATCGCGTCGTGTAGAGAACGTTTTACATTTAGCCTCGGTATTTCATTTTCTGGTTAACTTGTGGTTCAGATTTAACCTCATAATAACGCGAATATTACCTTTTATTATGCATGGTTAATCATGAAACTTTAAAATTTGCCACTACAAAACCATCGGTTTAACGATTAACCCTAAACTTAAAAGCGGAATTTTTGCATTATTAGTTGAAATTAAAACCACAAGTTAAGCATAAAATGAACAACCGGGCATTAGTGACGGAAAGTCATCGCAAGCGACACTTTATCTTCGTTCCATATTCAATGAGTGACGAGGATAAAATGGCTTGCGTTAGCCAGTGCCACTGTAAATAGAAAAAAGAGATAAACCCCGCCGGTGGAGAGCGAGCCCGCACACATTCCGCTGGGAGAAAACCCGGCCGGTTTCCGCGATCGTCCGGGAGCATCCGGGAACGCGGCCCGAGGGATCCATCGATCGGCTAACGAAGGCGAGCCGCCGCGCCAAATGGTCCGCATCACTCGGCCGGAGATCAACGCGCACCTCCCGCGGGAGATCTCGCGATCTGGGTCTCCTCGGATGGCCGAGGTGACCCTTGCGCGCGGTAATCAATCCGGTCGGTGCAATCGGAGCGCACCAGATGGAACGCCGGCTCGGCCGGCCACTGGCGTGCACGTGCACCGGACTGTGCGCGTCATGTCGGAGCGCGCGCTCGAGTAGCGGTACCGGCGGTGCCAGCGGGGGAGGGGGGAGGTGGGAGGGAGATTAATAATAATCAAAAAGAGAAAGAGAGAGAAAAAACGTGGGGAGAGAAAAGTTGATCGAGCACGTGTGCTCGTTACTCACCGATTATGCGAAAGGACGACGAAGACTTCTTCTCCTCCTCCTCCGGGCTCGTCCGACGAGCCGAGAAGCGATCACTCTGGTATGTCAAAGTGAGTAAGGCACAACACTGTTACTAATCGCGGCTCGTACGGCGCGTCGTGCCGTATTGTACCGTACGATGATTACCGGCGACGACAGTGGCGGCGGCGGCGACAATGTAGGCGCCGATGAAGGCGGGCAAGAAAGCGGGACGAGTGGGATCGATAGCCAACACCCGCGCGCACCTACGAGCAGTTGGCGGAGCCGCCGTCAATGGCGACTACTGGCTGCTTCGCGCACTCCGCGTGTACGTTACGCGCTACGACGAGAACGAGACGGCACGGGCACACGCGCGATTTTCGAACGGTGGCGCGAAAGATGGATCCGGGTCGATAGGAGCACTACCGGTCGAATACGGCGGAACGGGAGAAAAAATGTGTGTGTGTGTGTGTGAGAGAGAGAGAGGGGAAAGGAAAACGGATGTCGGAGGAGGGCGGATCTCGCAGACCGGATGCTTACGCTGCGGCGTTCCCCGCGTGAATGCCGGACCGGCGGCTGCACGTGCTGATGCCGCGAGGCACTTGAATCGCCGCCGCTCGGCCAATCGCAACGAACCACCTGTTACCAGCGCGCTCGAGCTGCCGAGCAGAAGCGACAGCGCGTGGCGAACGGGGGAATGATTCGCGGCTGCGCGCGCATCGCCGATCCAGCCGCGGAGCGGATTTCGAAAAAAGTCCACCGACGGCTCGGCACAGCTGCGTTCGATCTTGCGAGTCGGAGACATCGGTTGCTCATGGTTGCTCCGGGAAAGCCGAAATTTTCGTCCTACATTAAATCTATTCGGTTCTACATTAAGTCTTTAAATGGAGGAAACGGAAATAGCGTTTCATTTGTGGCGTGAAAAGAGTGCAATAAAAGATCTATGAAAACTTGAAGTAGAACTGAAATCTCGACTCGGGAAAGTCGTTTCATCAGCTGGACGTCATCTTAAGATAGTCTTAAGAGCGAACCGATGTCGTCAAATCGAACGCAACCTCGCAGCAATGGACGGAGCATGCGGGAAAATGTCTTCGATCTTTTTCACACTGACGGGTACCGAAAGAGAGAAATAGATGTTTCAGCACGGACCTCTCTCACTCCACTATCTTCTCATTGGTTGAATTTTGTCTAACGAGAGAGAAAGTTTCGAACTATTAATTATTGAGAATTACGATACACAGATGCTTCTTTAATTAATAACTCAAAAACATTCGCGTGGTTATTTGCAGAAAGGGTGAAGGACCTCTGTTCGTAACGGCCTAATCTACGAATACATACGACAGCTGCTGTGCCTAGCAACAAACGTCGGTATATCGAACCTTGAACCTCGAACTTTGAACCTGTCGCCAGATACAACAGCCTGTGTAAGGGCGCAGGGGATCGATTGTACATCTCTTCGTCGACTTTCCTCGCCTCTCGATACTTTCATGTGAATAAACGCGCGCAATTGGCTTGCGTCGCAAAGTGAGAATACGATATCCCTACGATATACCGTTTGATGTTCGACACGAAAATTACCTGTCCGGCAATCTCACGCGAGACATATCGCATTTTCATCGTGGTGAAAGTCGCCTGATCAAATAAGAGTTCGCTTTTGCAATTCTCATCATGTTTGAGATACACAATCAATCGACGGAATCGCGACGCAGCGTCGGCTCCCGCTCTCGAGGGCGGGGGGGGAGCCGACAGGACGACGCGTGGGAAGCCGCGAATTGGGAGGAGAATCCGTCTCGATCGGAGGCGAGACGTCCCGTTCTTCGCCGCCTCTTCGAGAGAGAGCGATCGTGCTCGGTTCGTACGTAAAGCGGCGGTTCGGAATAATAATAGCGCGGCGGAGACTAATGAAGGTAACGGTATGCGGGCGCGGAAAGCAATGCGGGCAATCGATGCACACGACGCACACGAGCGGGCGGCTAAAGCGCCGAGGTGCTTCCTCGTGGCCGACTGTGTGTTACTTCGTCGACCTTCCTACCTTCTTGTATTTTCGTCTCATGCGAATAAATGCGTGTCGATAGGCTGAAACGGCGAAGACGTCCTTCTGCGACGCCGTTTTCCACATCGTTCGACGCGAAATCGCTCGCCGAGCAGCCTCGCGTGAGACATATCGCGTTTTCGTCGTGGTGAAAGTTGAGCCTAATTAAACGAGAGCTCGCTTTTGCAGTCCTCACTGTGTGTGTGTGTGTGTGTGTTTTGAGATACACAATCGACCCCCTCAACGTCGGTCCTTCGGGAACATGTTTGAACATTCGACCACTGACCCGACGGTAGAGCGGGGATCGCGTAAATGCTTCCTAAAGGCGGTATTCATTCGGTCAGATTTTATCTTTATTATCTTAAGTTCATCTTCAGATGCTCAGTGGCCAATGAAACGGTCCGTACAGTATCTGAAAATGAGCCCGGGACGATATGAAATATAGGGTCTATATGTGAATATCGCCCATCATATTTAGGATAGGACTTAATCCTTCTGTCGAAATGCATCACCTTTCTATCGATGCATCGGATATTTCAGCGCAACGACGTTAAAGTAGCTGCTGTAAGTTTCGAATATTCTATCTTCGAACATCTAGATAGCCTTCGAAGGACAAAGACCCTTGGTATACCCGGAAGCGGAAACGCGACAAGTTTCAGCGTGAAAAGTTCCATGTTACCTTAGTTCGGAGAGTTACATGATCGCTAAAGTTGTCGAGTGCACATGAAACTTCTCACTCGTCGCTTTTCCGCTCTTCGGGAAAGTCTACACGATCGCTATTCAAGGATCTTATTCCAGGTGGGTGTTCGACGTTACAACGTGACCATCTAATCCCAAGCTCCATTTTTCTTACGTCATGTGTAACGTCCCACGACGACACGTGTGTCTACGAGACGTCAAAGCTGTCCTTTAGACGTCTTATCGTCTCAAAGACGTCTCTACGACATCCTAAGACGTCTTAAGACTGCATTCATACACAGGTCTTACTTATATTTAAGATCGTTTTAAATTTATTTTCAAATGCTGCGTGGATCGTTTTACTGGCTACGGAAAATTAATTCTTAAGACTCTTAAGACCTCTTATGAATACCGTCCTTAATCTTCTGCGAAGTGGCTTTAACTTGAGGACAAGAAAGATCCCATCTTTCGCATTCGACACGCATCCGGAATTCAACACGGCCCCAAGATGGGCTGCATTCAGAAAACACAATAGTCGTCAAGTGGCCGCTTATTATCATTGGAATATTCTTTTAGGCCTGTCCCGCGGACCTAAAAGAATACCTCAATCAGAGATGATAATCACTCACGGGTCCAAAAACATGGCGCATGGTTACATTGTACTTACATCGTCGAATGAGGAATTATACACATTGATCTATTGTCGCTGTTGTGCTGTTTACCAAGTTTACCCTATTTGGTTCGCTCGGCGGCCCGGCTGTGCCAAAACGTGACCTGCATTCGCCCCGCGATCGCGCTCGTCGTAAACACAAAGAAACCGCATCGTCGCGCGCACGCGATAGTCGCCATAAATATCCGCGACGTGTTCGATACGAAAATTTCGCCGACGCGCGTGTATTCCCGCCGATCTGCGTCCGACCGCTAATTACTCCAATTCACGAGGCGTATCGCGAGGCGGTGCAATTTGCGAACGAGCTCATTCGCGGGCGAGAGGGGACGCGCGGTAGTCCTGTGCTCGCGCGTGTGTGCGTGCGTCTCGTGACGCCGGATATTCAATTAGCGGAANCAAAGAAGCCGAACAATTTCCCGCCGGCGCCCTCGTCCTCGATCAGAGGATCGCGCGCGCATTGACGACGCGCTCCTACGACATCGATATAGGCGGAAAATTGTTCGGCTTCTTTGACATCGTTCGAACAACGTCTACGCGCATCGAGCGAGCGTTGTACGGCGCACATTGTGAAGTGCGCCGCACAATGCGGCAATATTTAGCTCATGTCTGTTTGTAGCGCGCAGGGTCACCCCCCCTCTTCTCTCTCTCTCTCTCTCTCTCTCTCTCTCTCTGTCAATTAAAGAAAGAATCGGATAATGTATATATACTTGTATATAAAATAGCAAATGTGGGGGCTGTGCTCAAGTTATTTGTTCAATAAAATAGAATTACATAGTGCAACCTGAAGGTGCAATATAAACAGAGGTAATATATATATATATATATATATATA